GAGAGAGAGAGAGAGAGAGAGAGAGAGATTTACAGTTAAAACAATTTGTTATTGCTTTAAACCTCCATCAACAACAGATTATAGAAATAAAAGAAGAAACAAACGAACAATCATTATTTGGCCGTGTAAACATCCATAGAGGCTTTGGACGTACTTGAGAGGCTTCAAATAAATGAACATTAAAACAGGATCTCAAATAAGTTTTAAAGCAGTTTCTAACAAGCCAATGAGGTAAAGCAGAGGATTTAATTAGTTTAAATTAGTAAAAGACAAGCCAATGCTGTGATGACTACGTTATTATAACAGTGGCAAGAAATATGAGTTGAAAAACATAAAGAAGAGAGGACTGAATGAAAGAAGAGGTGCGACATTCATAAAGATACAGACATTGTAGTCGTTGCTATGGCTGAGAATGTTACAAATGATGCGGGTAACGATGTTGATGCAGCTCCAAAAGCAGCTGCTGATTTTGTGCTCGGCGTGATGAGACAGATTAAATCAAACTTTTAGTTTTAGTTTTACTAGAGGTTTTACGGCGCTCGCAACTGCATAAGGTGATATAAGCGCCAGAAGATTAGAGGTGTTACATGAGAGTAACAAACATAAAAAGAAGAAGGGGAGATAAGGACGATAGATGTTTGATAGGAAAGAACCACCCACCAAATCAAACTTTAAAAAGAAGAAAAAATAAAATAAAACTATCTCTTCCCCAAGTTCAATCTCCACGATTCGCAACTTACTGCTCGCCCTAATCATCAATCATCTTAGTAACCCCTAGGTAACAAGCCTTATCTAACAATTTTTCCGAAGACCCCGAGGAACCTGGAGAAAAAAATCACAAAAATTGATGTATAGAAAAGTGGGCAAGACAAGGAATAACATGAGGCTAGCCCAGGATAGACAAAGGTGGAAAGTTTTTGTCCGTGGCCTACTATACCATGGTGCAGGGTGAGAAAGGCAATGATTTTTTTTTGTTTCCTTAATGGGCCTGACGGACTCCACGAAGAAATTTTCGAGCGAGAGCGAGGCTCTTTTTCGGCTCCATTGTCAATATGCTTAGCGGCACCTCCACTCGTCCAAATAACTCCATTCGAATTGCCATTGTTCGTGGACATTCAAACATATGTTTGACATCTTCCTTTTTCTTGGCCGCATCTTCGGCAATATGGGCTGAGCTCTTCATTTACAAAGTTCTTATACCATCTTAAACTCCAATGATGTTCCGACAGCAGTCTCGCTAGCTAAAACTGGTACCAGCGACATGTGATAGACTTTTGTTCCCGCTTATAGGAGTACCTAGAATACACATCTTTCAGGTGATGATGATGATGATGAAGATGATGATGATGATGATGATGATGATGATGATGATGATGATGATGATGATGATGATGATGATGATGACCAATTTCCCAATTTCAATAACCTGTAAATAAAAAGCCATCACACTGACCGTCATGTGATAGAAGAGCAGT